AGATAGATTCCTTAATTTTTCGTTTGTTTATGTTTGGCTCTTTGTTTAAAATTACTGTTTTTAAAAGATATACTATGGTTTTTTGAGTTGCAATGGTGGAAAACATGGGTCGGTTTTTTTATTGTGTTCTGTCAATCTGGTTTCCAATTTTCTTCCTGTTTCTCCGATGTAGAATTTTGGGCAGTTATTGCATGCCATTTTATAAATGAAGTTAGCATTATGCGATTCTAAATAATTTTTTGTTTAGTAACGATTTTAAATCAGGGCCGGGTTTTTGAGAGAATTTGACGTTGACCAGAATTTTATGTTTAATGGTTAGTTTTGTCCAAGTGTGGATTATTCTTGAGCTGGTTTCAGGGGCAAAAGGTAAACTGCAGTGTAATATTCTGTTGTTGGGTTTGTTAGTATCAATTTTGTTCGCGAGTTGAGTTTTGTTGTGGTGAATGTTGGAGAGTGTTTCAACAATAGCTGGTGGAAATTTGTTGGTGTGAATGAAGGAATGTTTTATATGGTTGATTTCTTCATTTATGTAGTCAGTTGAATAATCTTGTGGCTGTGTTTAGGAGGTTTTCAATACATTGATTTTTGTGTGTGGTGTCATGAGCGGAATTCCAGGGGACTTAGAGATCGGTGTGTGTGTTCTTACGGTGAATTTTGGTTTTCAACTGTGTGTCCGATCTAATAATGTTGAGGTTAGGAAAAGATAATTGTTTAATGTTTTTTGGTCTCTATGGTAAGTTTGGTGTTGGGATGAATGGAGTTTATGTGTTCAAAAAAGTTAGTGTGTGTTCTGTACAAGTGAAACCAGCAAAACCCTGTCGAAACGTTGTACATTTGCTGTTATGTTAAACTTGTATTAAAGTTTTTCTTCATTATCCATTCAAGCCGTCTCCAAGCATTATTAGTCTCAAAGTGGGTTCCTCGTCATCGAATTTATTCAGTATATTTACATGTAAAAACATTCTATCATCATAAGTTTAAAAACATTATTATTTTAAAATATTTTAAGAATAGTATGTTAATAAATCCGCTTTTTTTCTTGAACAAAAATCAAACGATAGCCCAATGTGGCTTGCTCTAAGAAACAAACAAATAAAACTTTTCAATATGTTTCTTTAGATTACCTGAAAGTTCAATAACAGAGTGTAAATTTCATTATTTTTTATACATTATAATTGATACTAAATTATACCCACAAAAAAAAAAAGATCTCTGGCGATTTATACAGGTTGCTTTATGTTTCTTCGTCGGTGTTAAGTTACTGTGATTACAGAAACACATTGCAATTTCATTACAATTTAATTTGCTACTATTTAACCTCTTACTTAATGCCTAGGAGTCTTTCCACTCAGAAAAGACTAAAGTGGGAACTATAACTATACTCTAAGAGGTTAAATTCCAAATTACATGACTGCGTTGTGGCCTCAGTCTGTGGATAAAGCAGTCTTCTTTTTATATGAATTTTGTTCTTATCATTGATCTTAGCTAAGATTACAACAATAATTTCAATGGACAACTCATTCCACTCACCAAAGGAATTAGTAAATATGCTATTTCTGATAGGTTTTTTGATATTTTCGTGTTCGTTCACGAGAGTCGCTACTCCATAGTTTTCTTGTGGTGGAATAGATGTGGCCTTGTGCACAAGAAGGATAATTGAATTGATAAACTACATTAGCTGTTAATCTGGGGTCCCAAATGGGAAACCCCTCCTAAATTTAAAATTCGTAGACCCCTCTATAAAAAAGGTTTAACACATTTTTATGAAAGGATAAACCCCAGGAGTGATTTTATGGGTGTACAGTGATAAACTTGAGAAATATGAGTGTCTTTCTAATTCAGATGAAGATGCATTTTGTGTTTGAGCTATTAATTCTCAATGTCAGAAAATTATAACTTCAATAATAGGCTTCTATAGTTTCTAATCAATTAGAAACACAAACTGCATGTTTACAAGCAAAAACCCAAGATATTAGAGACATCCTACGTTCTTCAACTGCTGTGATATCAATACATTTGTCAAACCCATCAGAGAAGCCCTCCTCTTTTGGACTTTTGAGTTGTTTGCTAATCAACTTTACATGGCTGATGGACACGTTTACAATCAACGTAAATAGCAGATCTTCTCTGCAAAGGCCTATTACAGCTATTTAATTTAGACATCCACAAAATAAAAGTCTGCCGTAGTTCCTTCGTGATCTGAACATCTAATGGAATTTTTAAAACCTATTTGTAGCTTATTTAGAAAACTGGATAAGTTTTAGTTGTTTTTTGAACATTCTATTCATGTGACATATTTTTTTGAGTTCTAAAATGTATATTTGAGATCTACATAAATTATTTCCTGGACAACCAAATTTGTGAGAAAAATGAGAGTTACAGCAGTTACACCGTGACTGTGAGATGATGTGTTGTATATGCACAGTTTATACTAGTTTTACAGGAAACAATTAATTGACTCCCACTGTGAGTCATTGATTCTTACAGAGAACAAGTTGCTCCTGTGGTACAAACAACAACAAGAACTATAAGATATAAAGAAAACATATGTGAAAAGGTTAACAGTTGAAATATGTGAAGACCTGTAATAAATGATGCATTCCAAAAAGGTAAAAAAGGTATTAATTATTTTATCCATTATTTTTAACTTTTCATTTTACTGTACATTGACATATTTGCCACTAATGATGTTAGAGTAGAGCGAATAGAAGATAAAATATAGATTTCTACCCTACAAACTTTTAATATTCATTTAGGAAATACTAGAGGTTATGCAAATGAAATATGAAGCCTGTAAAATGTAAACAAGTATATTTATTATTAGTATGAAAATCATTTTTCACTCAGAAGACTCAGCAAAAGCTTCATAAATTCATAGACAAACAATTAGTAGAGACAATATTAAAAATGCTGATGTTATCTGTACAATAAAAACGTAATGTTTGCTAAAAATTTGTCAAATTTCGTGAAGATACAAATGGTAAATTCAGATTTATAGTAAACATTATTATGTACAACCTCATAGATACAGGGTCAGCCAAAAGGACTTACACTGTGATTAAAATATGAACTGGCCTGTTAAATTTTGTCCAGTGGTTATAGATTCCACAGTATTAGTTGAAACAGGTGCAGACCAAAAGGCTTCTCCTATTTCATATTTCATACCTGAATATATTTGGGGTTCAAATTTTCATGCAGGTATGGAGATGGATGTGGCTGGTATGGTCTCTATTCTTACACATTTATTTTCAAGCTGTTTCATTATTTCATTCATGTTCTTTTGTAGATTGTTGATTTCTTTCTGTAATCATTGTAATTCTTCTGTACATCTCCAATAACTCTGGTCTTCAATCAAATTAATTTTTAGTATTAATTTTTCTTTAAATATTATATTTCTTTCTTTATGAACTCTTCTCATAAAGTCTCGTCTCTTAACTATTGACCATTAAAAAAAAATTCTGTCTTCATTCTTCTTGGTCTTCTTTTAATTCTTCTTTCCATTGTTTCAAGATTTCCCACAGATTTTCGATCTCACTTGCTTCATATATTGCAATCTTAAATTTGTTTTAGGTTTTATTTCATTGGTATGGAAATAATCCCACTCTTGAAAACAATGTTATAACAGTTTCTATACTTGGGAAAGTTCTTTTTGATTATTCAATTAAAAAAAGTAACACAAAGTCCAAGATATTTAACGAAAAGCAAAGCATTTTATTTCTTTAAGAGAAAGTATTAAAGCTTGCACAATTCTAACAACTAACAGTAACTAAGCTATAGGACTAACTAACAAATACAACTTACTTGTTGAATTTCCTCTCCTATCTAGACACAACTCAATGGCTGATTAACAAACTCACTAACCCCCAGTGGCACAGCGGTATGTCTGCGAACTTACAACGCTAGAAACTGGGTTTCGATACCCGTGGTGGGTAGAGCACAGATAGCCTATTGTGTAGCTTTGTGTTTAACTTCAAACAAGCCAAACTCGGTAATCGATTGATAACACAATGACAAATTAACTGATTAACCCTCTAGCTCTACTTTTCTGTTTTCGATATACAATAAACAAATTAAGAGAAATTTGGAAACAAATGTTTTCAGTTGACATGATTTTTTTTTATTATAAATCATATGCGTAGTGGTTGCTAATTTATCTTCAGCTTTCGGCATTTAAATCTCAGATTTAAATAGATTTTACTGCACATACAAACAGTGTTTCAGAGAATCTGATGCCCCCTCTCTTGGGCTGGAATGAAATGACAAAAGTAAAACAAAAATAAAACAGAATCTTTCATATCTCATCCTCGAGTTCTGGTATTAACGTAAGGCATCTTTGGCAGTGATTTGTGGGAGACAGAACGGGTATGGAAATCAGGATTTTAAGAAGCCTTCACACTTACTGCTGGTCCATTAGAAGACAAAAAATTAATGTGAAATGCCATTTTTACACGCCTCCGATTTTTAATTCGCAACGAACAATTTAAAAGAAATGTTGAAGAAAAACATCTGCAGTTAGTATGATTTTTACCACAAATCCTAGCCTTATTGATTAATTTAAATAACGTTATAGTTATTAACTGTTGTGTGTTTAATAATCTGAAAAAGTTTAATAGATTAAAATTGCATAAACAAAAGTTCACTGCGTTCAAACGTTGAACATCTAAATTATACCTGCTTATATTTGAATTGTTATTTACATCATTCTATAATTTTAATTTATTATTCCCTGAAGCGCTCATTCACTAGAAAATAAAATATTATTGGCCATATAACAGCAATTTTTTATTAACCAATTATCACATGCAAAACGTTATATGTATAAAATAAGTCGAAACGGTAAATGTTATATCACTATTTAGTTACTGAGACATTAAGTTATTTATTGAAAATTGTATTTTTAAATATTGATAGTTAGGTTTTATCAGAAACCCAAATCTCATTTTATAATGCACATTTATAAATGTATAAATATATGCAGTATGTAGACGTCGCCACCCTTATTTATATGGCATGTGACTGTGTTATTAAATGTATTGTTATTGTCAATCAGCCAGTTGTTTCGTGAGGTATTGAATTTAATTTAATTGTTTGGGGGGAAACTGAATTTTTAAAAACTTACACGTAAAGGGACATAAGTATGCTGAAACCTAAAGCTCTAACCCAGGCGTTAAGCCAAGCAAATACAGGCGGAGTACAGTGTTCTTTGTAAGTGGAATGTTTTAGAAAAAACGCGTCCAACTAAATTTAAAACAAAAGGCAGTCTTCGGGTTTTATCAGCTTAGTAGATATAACATTTTAAGTTAGTCCTAAAAGTTACACAAAGCTACTCAGATAAAAGTGCAAAATAATCTCGAAATGTTAATATGTATACTCGAAAAGTTATTAAAAAATTATTTTAAACATCATAAATTATAAGATTTTAATGTATCTTTATTATTGTATATTTTGGTTTGTAATTCAAAATGAATCAGGTTTTTATTTGTAAAGTACATAAAAATTACAAATACACCGCATGGATATATAAAATCAATGAAAAGTGTTAGTGTATCATCTCAACTATAATAATGCCTGTCTAGTCCTAGCTCACCTGATGAGCCCCCTGGTATCACACTGGATATAGCAGATTAGTGTGTTTGGCATTATTTACTTTCAGTCATAACTTCTTAGAATTATAAGTGTTGATACAATTATCATAAAGCATGGTAAAGAAATGATCAAAGTAAGTATTTACTAACTATGTAGGACTTGAATAATTTGTTTTTCAGCATTTATGGTGCATAGTGGAGGGATTTAGACATTTTGGCAATAAAGTTAGAAGAACAACAACAAAAAACTTTTATTCTCCAGATAATATAAGCTCTGATGAAGCTGCAGGGGAGAAATGTTGGCTGAAATAAAAAAAAAATTATCTTAAGAGTAAAAGTATTTTTCTCTGTTCTAACTTTATTGCTAACAGGACTTGAATAACATTAAAACAAGAACTTTAATATTTATAAAATTTTTTGTAATGGAAATCCATGCCTTATCATTAATTTCTGATCAAACAAGCTACTTTCATAGATCAAAACTAAAAATTGACCCAGTAATTAATATAGTTAATTTTAGTATACTGGTCTAACTAGAAGAATGAAGTTTCCTAAAATTAAAACTTATTTTCCATTAATGGTTTTATTGATATACCTTGTGGCATTTAATTAATAAAAGTAATAGACTATTCAAACCCCAATGATTTATTACTGAAAAAACAAAAATATATTGTTACATGTTTCAGCCACATTTGTTCAATCTGTCATTAGATAGAATGAATATAGATAAAACAACAGTATATATGTTATGTTAAAAAAAAAACTTGTTCCTCTAACATGTGGTACATGTCAACTTTAAGTTAATGTTCTATCTAAATGAAACAACACCAATAAATGTATACATGTATATGTTATACATAAGGTAAAATAATACACTAAATTAAATGAAGAGATTTGCTAGAAATAAATAAATGCAAACATTTTCCTTTGAACAGAGATGAAGGTCCAGAAAGTTTAGTCCTTCAGTTGTATAGCCTGTATTAGGATTAACATTGTATAAAGGTCTACATGTTTACAGATAAACACACAGTTACTGGCAGTGTTTCATTTAACTAGAATGTTAATATAATATTAACATGTATCTCGTCTAATATAGGAAGGAGCTTTTTTTAAATATAGTACATGTACCGTTGTCTTGTCTGTATTTATTCTGCCTGATGATGGATTGAACAAATATGATTGAAACATGTCCCAAGAATTTGAATTTGAATGTCATCGAATTTGAATGTCCCAAGATATTTGATTTTGTAATAATGAATAATTGTGGATTAAAAGGTGTATTACATTTATTAATTATAATGCATAATATGTATGGTGTTTTGAGTTGTCCTTTGCTCAACATGGTGGTCTACCACTAAATGAAGGTTGTTCTTGTTCCTTGTCCAGGGTTACTGATGAGGGGTGGAATTACCAGAAACTTGTATGCTCAGTGACAAGTGGTGAATCAAATAACAGATTTGGATTCATATTTATTCTTTTGTATTTTAAACAGCTTATTTGCTGAATAGTTAATAAGGATAACATCAATGCTACATATTCTTCAGAACCTATATAGACATAGGTTTACCGTTGTGAGATTTTATAAGTAGAAGTAAAGAAGAATGTATAACAATAAGTCGACCACTCTATATCTGCCATATCTAGTGCTGATGAAGCCTTTCACACAATACCAGAGCTCATCAAACAACACAATACATGTAATATACACTACCACTATATGAAGCCTAATCTTGTTATTTCAATTTGCTACTGCCAAAGAATACTGATGAATAGTGGAATTGCCTGAAACCAGTAGCATTATAATACATCGATTCATAAGTTGGTTATCCTTGCTGTTAGCAATGTTTTCAGTTATAGAACGTAACTCTAGTCTGCTTTTGAGTTACTTGAAAAGTTCGTAATCAATTTCACATAAGAGAATACCTAATATTAAAAAAATAAAATGGTGTCAGCCGCAAATATCTACAAAAGTTGTAAAATGGTTCATATTGAAATTAATTATCCAAAACTTAATAAACCATATTTTAACATGTGATCTTAAACATTTAAAGGAATACATATTTAAAAGAGGAAAAAAAAAAGAACTTTTAAAACCACATGTGTTGCTTAAATGCATTGAGATTTTTCTATTTGTATGTAGAACTGAAACGTTAATGCACTTTTTCAAACTGGAAGCAATTTACCACACCTTTATAGTTTAAAAGCAGGTTGCACACTAGTCAGTAAACAACAAATACAGTTTTTCTTGAATAGTTAAATGTAAAGCCATATCTGTAAACTTGGACAAAAAAACAACAACTAAAAACAATTATAATTAGTCTCTAGTTTTGATATGTTTCTTAGAAGAAGGGTATCAAGATTACATTTCTAAGGGCCCTTTACGTTCCCAATCCTTCTACTATATCACATTAACATTTAAATTTGATTTTGTATGATGAAAAAGAGTAAAATTAATGTAATATACATATTATAATTTGTAAAACAATTTATTTCTATTTCTCAAAACTGCTATAACTTTGTGTTAAAAAAAAATTATATATGTAATTCTTTCCCTCATTGGTATTAGCTAGTAGTGTACTTTCTGTGTGTGTGTGTATTTACTACATTAACAATAAAGGCATGAGTACTTGTAAAATATTAGTATTAAGAAAAAAATATTGTTTTTTAAAGTGTTCTTAAGATGTATCATTGCCATTTCTTATACTATTCTAGGACCACTGATTACACAGGCCTTTGATGGTTTTATTGTCTTGAAATTTTTATATGTTCTACAGTAATTCCTGTACGCTGAATCCAAAAATATTTATTTTTCTCCATCATATACAAAGTTTTCACAAAACGTCATAACGCAATACATAAAAGAAAGACCACAACAAAGACCAAGTTTTGAGACTAAAGGACATAGATTTCACAAAAAAAAATTAGGATGAATGAAGATGCATATTCATTTAACATCAATGTTCTTCCCTTTTCTTCAGTTTGTTTATATTTTTGTTAATAAACATAATAATAATAAAAATGTTCATTATGGTAAACAAAATAATAATTTGATCTAAGTAAGATTTTTTTTTTCTTCCCGATTTCTAAAAAAATCCTTACGTGATAGAAATCTGCGTAGCTGTATTATGGAAAATCCGTTATTAAAACCAAAACAACTTTTATTAAGTTTAAATTTGCAGGCCTGTGTTATTAATGGTTTGAAGATATGAATAGCAAAATGAAAGATCATTGGCAAGTTTTGAAGCTGGTGCTGTTGATTATTGAAATAGATTTGGGTGATATATCGGGGTGATTGGACTTTAGAGTGGTTTGCATTCGAATATTATGAGAAGGCTCAATAAATATCTAAGTAATCGGGGCTAGATTTTAGTGCTTTTTTATTTTAAATGGATCATGTACCACCTTGATGTCCCTTAAATGTTATATTTACAAAAGAAGATGGATAAATAAGGTCTTCTAGCAATTACGATAATGATTAGCATACAATTTTGTTTAAAAAGTTGTATATGCAAAGATAAAATATTTTTGTTGGCTGAATTAATGTCATTAGAAGTAAGATTTATTAACATACAGTGTAGTTTAATTTAAACTTTCTTTTATATCAGATTGTTGAATCAGGAAGGAGCATTACTGGCTTACTCTGGTTATGGAGACAAAGATGCTCGTGTAACTGCAGCCATTGCAAGCAACATTTGGTTAGCTTATGAGAAAAATGGCCGGGCTGCATTCAATGAGGACCAGTTAAAATTCATAGCCATAGAATGTGAGGTAAAGTCACTTTTAGCTAAGTGTGCCATATTTCAGAAAATTCACATAATACCAGATAAAATTCTTTTTTTAAATAAGGATCACATTTATTTTCATGCAGCTGTTATTGTTAACTAAAATGTATGACTTGTACAGTTATAGGGCCATTAGGATGATACCTGGGATGGTATGGTAGTCATATGAGGACGGACTAAGATTCCCGATATTGTTTTTCTTGGATAAACAAAAAAAAGTTAGAAGTGCTCCAATTGAGGTGTTTAAGAGTATTAAGGTTACTGATAATATGTTATCAATGCTTCATTTTCTGTACCTATTTAATGGTGAGAATATTAGGACAAGGAGACACAAAAATAAATTTGGGCAGGTTAGACAGTTTTACTTTTCTGACAGGGTATTTGACTTTTAGAATGGTTTGCATTCAGATATCATGGATACAATAGATTCAAGGAAGGGATCAATAAATATTTAAGTAATCAGGTCTAGATTTGAGTTTTTCATGTCCCTTAAATGTTATATTTAAAACATAAGATGGATAAATTATTTTTTTAAATTATTTTTTGTGTTAATTTGTGCAAAATTTATAGCAATTATGATAATGATTAACCTAAAATTTTATTTTAAAAAGTTTTATATACAAAGAGAAAATACTTTTGTTAGCTGAATTAATGCATTTTCAGAAATAAGATATATTAAGATACAGTGTAGTTTCATTTATAAGTATGTGTTTACAAAAATATAAGTTAATATTTCTTTCAACCAAACTTACTAAACGTAATCTCCAGTTTAACCTGTATTTCCCCCATACTCATGTATACACAACATGAACATACCCTGCTCAGAACTTGTAATATAGGTATGATGAGCCAAAACTATTGTTATCATATAATGGCAGTCATTCCTCTCAGTTAATCTTTTATGCAAATCCAGCATCTGACAACCAGTCATGTAAACTAAAATGCAAGTTATCATTCAGTCTACTTTTGTTAATGAACATTGGTGGTTGTGGATTAACATTTTTATTCTTCAGGACATTTTAATATTGAGTGTGGTCTTCTTGAACAGCAGTGGCAACCAGGCACTAGTTTTGATAAAATTCTGAGTCTTTTTTTTTGTGCACTTCTCTGAAAGAGATATTTTTAGAACATCTTTACTGTATGGAGTCACTTGATATAATATGGTGTGTTTCTCAAGATCATCTCATACATGCTCGACAGGTTCGACATCCAGTAGCATTAAGCCACTCAGTTCAGTCAATCCTTTGCTCCTCAAGAAATATGTTGGCCAGTTTAGCATGGTAGGGAACATGGTAGCATCTTGGAACCTTCATCGTATGGCAGGGAGCGCTGTGAACACCCAATTTAATCTTGGAACCTTCATCATGTGGCAGTGAGCTAGAATCAACAGGTGGTACTCATCTGCTTGTGTTGTAGGTGTTATTCTGTTCTGTCTAAGCAACGAGTAACAACATCATTTATTTGGAAGCAGTTGTACATTCTGCTAATGACGCTTGTAGTCAATTTGCTACAGCCTTCTGTGATTGGTTGGACTCCATTTATCTGTTTCTCCATGTGAATAAAGCATCCAGATGTCTTCTCCGAAATCAAGCCATGGTCGATTACAAACTTGGAGTACTTTGAAATGTTTTATTTACTTCCAAGTGGGAACTAAAACAGAATTTTATGAGACCACTATATAATGATGAACTGAGAGAGATGATTGACATTAATTTATAAAAGTGGTTTTGCCTTGTTATTGCCGTGATATTACAATTCCCAATCATCCCTTATTTGTCTCGAGCAATGTTGCTTGCATACAGATTTGGTTATAGTTAGAATAATATTCAGAAACTGCGAGTTTGTTGCATGTATATTTTAAGTTTTGGTAGTCACTCTTTAACTTACAAACTCTTTTAATGCAGATTTTCACAAAATACACTATATTACATACATAAGTGTGAATATCCTTTGGTTGTTTGCTTGCATACAGATTTGGTTATAGTTAGAATAATATTCAGAAACTGCGAGTTTGTTGCGTGTATATTTTAAGTTTTGGTAGTCACTCTTTAACTTACAAACTCTTTTAATGCAGATTTACACAAAATACACTATATTACATACATAAGTGTGAATATCCTTTGGTTGTTTACGTAGCTGAAAGAAATTCAAGATTTTTAGAAACTTGAAAATATCAAGTGGATATTTTTTTTTCTTTTCAAAATATTGGTAGAAATGTTATGTCTGATACTGCACTTTACTTTATAAAATTGAATTTAGTTTATTTTTATCTAACCCTTGTATTTTAAACTTTTGCAGGAAGGAAGAGTGGTTGTTACTGAAGTGGCTAACTTGTTGTTATGTCTTCAAGCCAAGGAAGATGTTGGTATAGGAATGTTGAAAGCTAAAGCACAAGCTTTAGCAGATTATTTAGAAGGTCCTCTTACACAGGTGGCTGCATCATGAAAAAAAAGTATACAGTA